GTTACCGCCGGGAACTCGTAGAGCTTCCTTATCCGTCGCGCCCTCGCCTGACCCCCTGCCTCCACCCCCCGCTCGATCCTCTCGTTTGGAAGCGTGTTGCGACTGTGGCGCGCCTCCTCCCTGCGGGCAGTACAGTAACCGAGGCTGAGCTGTCGGCCTTAGGAGGGCCTCCTGGAGGTAGCTGAGATGGTATTGCGAGGGCAATATCCGCCCAGCCCTGGGCCCAGGCGGGACGCCTCGCGTTCCGTGATGCCTGAGAAACAAAAAAAACAAGGTTCACGATTCACCGCCTGCTCCCAGTATGAGCTCTGTAGTTTCAGTACTACTATCGAAAGACGTAGAGCAACCGACTCCATGTTGACACCCAAAAAATAGAATCTTCAAGATTCGAAGTGCATATTCTCAGAAGCTCTCTGCATGCACTGATAGCCCTTTTTGAGTGCGGGGAGCTCTACGAGGTTCCCGGCGGTGTCCAGGTTGACGGTTCACCGCCGGCGCCAGTCGAAGCAGAGAGCTTCTCGGAGCATTTCTAGAAAAACGTATAATTTGCATTTTTCGGTGTACTTCGTAGAGCTCTTCGGCAAGATGAGCTTAGAGGAATTCGGGCGCAGGGTGGAGCTAGTTGGCAGACCCGACCTAAAGAGACAATGTGGTGACTTGGGGTCGGTTTTTGTATCTTTGTGCAAGATTTGAAATTCATTTTCAGAAAACGGATTTTTCTGCTGGTAAAAGTGTCAGGGCTGTAGAAGCAGCATTACTATCAAAAGACCTTCTGGAACCGAGCCTGTGTTTGAAATCAAAAATGCATTTTTCTAAATTATATTGTGAAGCCTTACAGATGCAGGAAGAAGGGAGCAGGGAGAGAGAGGCTGAGCATTGGCATATCAGCTTTGTTCTGAGAGCAGCTCAGCTTTCCTGAGGGAGTCTTACCATCGGTTCACTTCCCGGAACTGACCTCATATTGACAAAAAAAGATGCAAAAATGAAGATTTTAATAAAATCTTCGGCGAAGATCTCTGCTTCGATTCTGAGCAGTCTTACGCAAGCAAGGAGCTCTACGAGGTTCCCGGCGGTGACCATATCCTGCCGGCGCCAGTCAACCTGATGTCGGTTGCTCCAAATGTTTCGATAGTAAAACTCCCTCGGGAGACCTGAGCTGCTCGCAGAACAAAGTTTAGACACCAATGCTGGGAGTACAAATTTGCTATCTCATAATGAATTGTTAAATATCGTTCAAATCTCAGCAAAACCGACCCAAAATCGTCACATCTTCTTTTCTTGTCGGGTCGACCAACTAGCTCCACCCCGCGCCGGAATTCCCCTAGCTCATCAATAACGAAGAGCTTTACGAGGTATGTTGAGAAGTTGAAGCCGCAGGGTAGCGCCGGAGATCGTTCTGGCCGCGGTCCAGGCTCCCCAACGTGCCTTGCTTGAACTTGCAGCAGGTCCTGAAGGTTCCTGGATAGCTTCTTGGAGAGCTAAGAGGGCTTCAGGTTAGCCGCAGGGTAGCTCCCGAGATCGTTCTGGCAGCGGTCCAGGCTCCCCGGCGCTCCTTGCTTGAACTGGACGCCGGCGGTGAACCGTCAACCTGGTCACCGCCGGAACCGTGGAGCTCCGCGCGTTCCGAAGAAGCTCCAAAGCAGCCGAAAGACTCTTCGAGGACAAAGCGCAGCAGTTTCTGTCTGAGCAAAGAAAGCTCTAGAAATTATCGCAAGCGATGATTTGTAGATGACCGAGTTCAGTGCTTTCCAGGCTGTAGACTGATGCTTTCGCTCCTACTGTATCGTCTTCTGTCACTAAGAGCTCACTAGGTGCTTCGAATATCTCGTAGAGCTCTTCGACGAGATAAACTAAGAGGAATTCGGGCGCGGGTTGGAGCTAGTTGGGCGACCCGACCAGAACGGACAATGTGATGACTTGGGGTGGAGGGAAGCTGCTCTCAACGAGATGAAGTCGAACAACGGAGTACGTGCTTCGAAAATTGCACGGATAAAGTCGGTTTTCGGTGAAAGCTCAAGTAGCAGACCGATCTCAGGCTTCTCGCCTCTCATGCTCCCGATGCTACTCAAGCTATTTGTGCCCATAGAACCTCTGGAACGGTCTTGAAATCTCGAGATTAAGTTCGCAAACGCAAGCTGTGCAGAAATACTATTTTCTGAAGGCTGGTTCCCAAAAGTGAACCCATAGAAAAATTGAAGCTACGGCCCCGAAACTTTCACCGGCGTATTCTAAAAATGCCAATAGTTGAGTTTTGAAATTTCGAGCATTTCGAACACCAAACCAAAGTCATCACTCTGTCTCTTCTGCCCGGGTCGGCCAACGCGCGCCGGCGGTAAAACGTCAACCTGGTCACCGCCAGGGACCTCGTAGAGCTCTGCAGCCGCCGCAGCCGCAGCCGCAGCCGCGCAGCCGCGCAGCCTCCAGCAGCATCATGAGCTCCCGGTCACATGATCCAACAACAGCCTGATATTGGTTTGCTTCTCAAGTTATGTCTGATGTGTGTATATATATATATGCATTGTTTGCTACTCTAGCTATGGAAAAAATAGCTGTTTCCAATATGCAATTATTTGCGGCAAATCTTGTGTTTTCGCGCAGCCGCAGCCGCGCAGTCGAAGCCGCAGCCGCAGTCACGGCCGCCTACTCTACAATAGAGAAAACAAACATATTATTTAGTTTTTCGATTTGTTTTTGGAGTTTTAGACAGATTTCGATTCCTCAGGCGTTCCAAGTGATTCGCTTATCATTCAACTTATGTACATGTGTATGTATGTTTGTATGCATGTACGTATGCACGCATGTATTTATATGTGCATATTTGCACATCAATATATATATATATATATATATATTAATGTATGCATGTATGCATATATGCATGTATGTACGTATGTATACATGTATACCTGTATCTATATATGGTATGTATTTCGTATATATATGGTATGCATGTCGTAGGTTCATATACATATATGTGTGTATGTATGCATGCATGTGTACATACATACATGTAAATAAATGCATACATGTATGTGCATATATATATATATATATATATATATACATCTATGTATATGTATGCATACATGCATGCATGCATGCATGCACACATGCATGCATGCATTCATGTATGTACGTAGGCATGTATATATGTACGTACACAAGTATGTATGTATGTATGTATACATGTATGCATGTCTGTGTAAATGTATGTATGTTCATGTATGTGTGCATGTATGCGTGCTTGTGTATGTAGATATACATGTATGCATGCATGCACTCATGTATGTATGTATTCATGGATGTATGTATGCCTGCATGCATGTATGTCTGTCTGCCTGTCTGCCTGTCTGTCTGTCTGTCATTCAGTACGTATGTATGTATGTATGTATGGCCGTAGGTATGTATGTATGCATGTATGTATTTATGCATGTGTATATGCATATATGTATGTATGTATGTATGTATACATGTGTGTATGTGTATGTGTATGTATGTATGCATGTATGTATGTATGTAGGTAGGTAGGTAGGTAGGTAGGTAGGTAAGTATGAGGTATGTATGCATGCATGCATGCATGTATGTATGTATGTATGTATGTATGCATACATGTATGCATGCCTGTATGTATGTATGCATGCATGTATGTATGTATGGATGTATGCATGTATGGATGTGTGTATGTATGCTAAAGAGGCCCCCCAGCCCAAATTGTTAAGGTACCCATCTTTTTCACTGAAGATGCCTCCAGTAACGCCTCGGAAGACCCAGAGATCGTAAAGCGAAACCCAGCTTCAAGTAAGCAGCCAGTGACTGCCCCAGGAGGCCCGGCAGGGCCTTCCAAGGCCCCTGATGGCGTCCCAATAAAGCCCGCGAGGGTTTCAGGAGGGCGTCTGGAGAAGTCCCAGGCGGGCAGAGAAGGCCCCGAGACTGCCCAGGACAGCTTCGAGATGGCCCAAGACGATCCGAGGAGATCACGGGATAGCCCTCTAGGACTAGAATTGCCCCTCAAAGCCTCCGCACGACCATTTTGGGCACAACTACGAGATACACGAGGAAAAGGAAAGGAGCGAGGAGGAGGAGTAGGAGGAGGAGGAGGAACAAAAGGAAGACTTGTCGAAGGGGAACGTCGAACCAGTCGCTACGACAGCTTGCAGTTGGAGGAGAAGAGGAGGCGGTGGAGGAGGCCAATGTGCTTGCAAGTATGTCCGATGCAAGGGCGCGGGTTCAACAGTTCCGCCCTGTCAAAACAGAAGGGGGGACATGTTTTGGCGAAGCGGTAGCGAATTAACAAGAACATTTAATTTTGGACAACGATTTTTGTGAGGGATCGAATTCATTTTTTAATCATTGTCGCTGCGGGAACCCCTCCCGTATCACGCTGCACCTTCGGGTTGCCAGCCAATTCTGCATTTTGCCAGTCTCTAAAGTCGACGGTTTCCTTACCACGTTTGCTGATGTGTCTATACGTGATTCGCGTTTCGATGCGGTCTATTTTGATGGTTCTTATGTCTTAATCGAAACGCGAGCTCTTCTTCGAATAATGTACCCTCTGAGGGCATGTGAAGCGGCTTTCGAAGCCATCGCAGTGACGTCCTTCGCATGCGCGGTTTGGAGCTGCTTGTCGTTGGATTGACAGATGGTGGCAGGCGTCTTCTGGTGTCAGCTCCATGAGCTGTGATTGTCAGTGTCGCTTCCGTGTTCTAGCGGCAAATGGATTTCTTCTTTTTCCCCAACAGTGTGCTGGACGACTCTGAAGGCAGTCGTTCGAGGCATGATGACTGTGCGCCTGTGGTTATGATGCAGGCTAGTATGGCCCGTTGGGGCAGAGCAGTAGCAGGGAAGCAGTAGGGGGGTAGGGGCATCGTTTTAGCATTATGATGCTTCTTTTTCTCTCTTTGTTCAGCCTGTTTCTACCATGTTCGGAACGATGTGGATTGACAGCACCGCCGTGCAGCATCATCGCTACTCAGTGTCGCTGTGCTCGTGCTGCCGTTCATGCTCGAAGTCCCTGACTCACAGTTGCATTTCCAATCGGCAATCGTATCTCAGGCGCTTCGCGTGTCTTGCAGTCCTCCACCAAGCCTGAAACGTGTCCACGCTGCTGCTACTACCACCGCCGCTGCTGCTGTCATTCGCTGTTTTCTCTTCCCGTGTATTCAGAGCCAAACACTTTCGAACATTAGGATCCGTACAGGCCAGGGGGAGAGGGAGGGATTGAGAGAGATAGAGAGAGGCATTGAGGGGATGGGGGAAGTGAGAGATAATATAATAACTGAAAGGACGAGGAATGTGTGGAGAGGGAGGTGGATAAGTGAAGGCTGAGGAGGATGTGGAGGAGACGGATTATGAGTAGGAGTAGGATGAGCATGCTGATGATGATGATGATGATGATGATGATGATGAGGATGATGATGATGCTGATGAGGTTGATGATTCTGACGATGATGATGATGATGATGAAGATGATGATGATGATGATGATGATGATGATGATGATGATGATGATGATGATGATGATGATGATGATGATGATGATGATGCTGATTATGATGATGATGATGATGATGATGATGATGATGATGATGATGATGATGATGATGATGATGATGATGATGATGATTTGATGATGCTGCTGCTGATGATGATTATGATGTTGATGCTGATGCTGATGCTGATGCTGATGCGGATGCTGATCCTGATGATGATGATGATGATGATTGATGATGATGATGATGATGATGATGATGATGATGATGATGATGAGGAGGAGGAGGAGGAGGGAGAGGAGGAGGAGGAGGAGGAGTAGGAGGAGGAGGAAGAGGAGTGGGCGGGGATGGAGGGAGGGATGGAGGAGTGGGCGGGGGATGGAACAAAGGGGGAAGGAGGGGTGGGGATGGCCGAGAAAAAGGAGCAGGAGGGCAAGGAGGAGAGGGAGGGAGGAGAGGAGGAGGAGGAGGAGGAGGAGGAGGAGGAGGAGGAGGAGAATAAACACGTAACCTCAGAGGGCCTGTGATGCTAACCAGCTTCTCCCTCCTAGGCTCTCGCTTGGCAATTGAAATCGTCCTTCCCCTCATCGTGCTTTCTCTCCTCCTCCTCCTCCTCCTCCTCCTCCCACTCCTTCTCCTCCTCAGCATCCTCATCGTTACCATCATCACCACCATCAGCAGCATCGTCACCACCATCAGCAGCATCGTCACCAAAGAGGTCTCCCTCGCGTTCCGCCCCCTCCGCCTCCAGCGCCCGGGGCGACGCGGAGGAACGCACAGTGACAGCAGCCGCCGAGTCGAGGCTGCGGTCTCCGCGCCGTGCCCTGCGGGGCACGCGGCGCGGCCTCCACTCTGTGGGGTGTGCACGGCTCTGGCGCTCGTTCGTTCGTTCCCACGCCTCGGCGGCGCGCCCAATGGGCGCAGGAGGCGGGGGGAAGGCTTCCGAAAGGAAGCTGCCTCTCAGGAGGCGCCGGCCCTTCATCTGCAGACAGGGCCCGCGCTTTTTCTGCAGGGGTGCTTCTACGGAGCCTTCCCCCCTCCCCCTACCCCTCCTCTGCGCGCCGGCAAACGCCCCCCTTTTCGTCCCGGCATGAAGGGTAGGGGTCCGTAGGGAAACGGGTCATAGATCCTGGGGCTTTCGGGACGATTCTCGGGCTCCCCCGGGGGTGGCGCCCTCGAGGAAGCGCGGCTGCTGGAGCGCACCTCCGAGGCCTGTGGAGAGCCTTGAGGGCCCCCGACGAAAATGCCCAGAAGCTCGGGCAGGAAGATGAGGGCAGGATAGGAAGCCAAGTATCCCAACCATCTAGGCAATAGCGGAGCTGTAACCAAGTATCCTAGCCAAGTTTCCTGACCCTACAGGGAGCCAAGTGTCCTAACAGGCACGGTGGGGGCCGCACCGAGGTTCTATGGCGGTGGAGTAACGTCGCAACATCCAGAGTGCTCTACGTACAACAAATGGGGTAGGGTAGGGGAAGTGTCCAGCAATCGGTGAGAGAGCGCCGACGTAGCGTCGATTCATCCCCGACCCGCTTCGGTCAGCGTCGAGTGGCAGGAGCCAGCACAGGATGACATGGGAGGCTTCCGCGAGAGACCACATGATAGTTGACGCCCTCAGACGAGAGGGGCGCTGAGGTCGGGCGGGACGAAATAGGAAAATGGGAGGTTACGAAATCTGCTGCATGTAGCTGGTTTCGGCCCCGCCGCCGGGCCCATTCCTCGATAAATGGCCGCCTCCTGGCGCCAGGAGGCGCCCATTACACTACCGATGACCCCCACATACCTATTTTATGGTATGTGCGCACCAAGCAACAAGCACATACGACCTTCGATTAGGTACCCTGGCGCTCCGAGCCGTCTTGAGCCAAAGTGTTTGCAGATCTGGATGCCGCGCAAACCCCTGCTAGTGAAACTGATGGAATGCAACGGCGGGACCTGCTGCCACGCCTGCCACGCCCCGGGACCCTGGGACGGATAGAGACCGCGGTGAGGGACCACTCCCTGCGCACCCCCGCTGGTGTCGAGAAAGTGCCACGCCTGCCACGCCCCGCGACCCTGGGACGGATAAGGACCGCGGTGAGGGTCCACCCCCTGCGCACCCCCGCTGGTGTCGAGAAAGCGCCACGCCTGCCACGCCCTGGGACTCTGGGACGGGTAGAGACCGCGGTGAGGGACCACCCCCTGCGCACCCCCGCTGGTGCCGAGAAAGTGCTTCGCCTGCCACGCCCCGCGACCCTGGGAGGGGTAGGGGCCGCGGTGAGGGACCACCCCCTGCGCACCCCCTCTGGTGCCGAGACGATGCCACGCCTGCCACGCCCCGCGACCCTGGGACGGGTAGGGACCGCGGTGAGGGTCCACCCCCTGCGCACCCCCGCTGGTGTGGAGAAAGCGCCACGCCTGCCACGCCCCGCGACCCTGGGACGGATAGAGACCGCGGTGAGGGACCACCCCCTGCGCACCCCCTCTGGTGCCGAGAAAGTGCCACGCCTGCCACGCCCCGCGACCCTGGGACGGATAAGGACCGCGGTGAGGGTCCACCCCCTGCGCACCCCCGCTGGTGTCGAGAAAGCGCCACGCCTGCCACGCCCCGCGACCCTGGGACGGATAGAGGCCGCGGTGAGGGACCACCCCCTGCGCACCCCTTCTGGTGCCGAGAAGGTGCCACGCCTGCCACGCCCCGCGACCCTGGGACGGATAAGGACCGCGGTGAGGGACCACCCCCTGCGCGCCCCCGCTGGTGTCGAGAACGTGCCACGCGTGCCACGCCCCGCGACCCTGGGACGGATAGAGACCGCGGTGAGGGACCACCCTCTGCGCACCCCCTCTGACGTCGAGAAAGCGCCACGCCTGCCACGCCACGCGACCCTGGGAGGGGTAGGGGCCGCGGTGAGGGACCACCCCCTGCGCACCCCCTCTGGTGCCGAGAAAGTGCCACGCCTGCCACGCCTCGCGACACTGGGACGGATAAGGACCGCGGTGAGGGTCCACCCCCTGCGCACCCCCGCTGGTGTGGAGAAAGCGCCACGCCTGCCACGCCCCGCGACCCTGGGACGGATAGAGACCGCGGTGAGGGACCACCCCCTGCGCACCCCCCCTGGTGCCGAGAAAGTGCCACGCCAGCCACGCCACGCGACCCTGGGACGGGTAGGGGCCGCGGTGAGGGGCCACCCCCTGCGCACCCCCTCTGGTGCCGAGAAGGTGCCACGCCTGCCACGCTCCGCGACCCTGGGACGGACAAGGACCGCGGTGAGGGTCCACCCCCTGCGCACCCCCGCTGGTGTGGAGAAAACGCCACGCCTGCCACGCCCCGCAACCCTGGGACGGATAGAGACCTCGGTGAGGGACCACCCTCTCCGCACCCCCTCTGATGTCGAGAAAGCGCCACGCCAGCCACGCCACGCGACCCTGGGACGGGTAGGGGCCGCGGTGAGGGACCACCCCCTGCGCACCGCGACCGGTTGTTACTGTGGCCCGTTGGGTGTTAGTGTGGCCCGTTGGGTGTTAGTGTGGCCCGTCGCGCGGCGGGATGGGAGTTACTGTGGCCCGCGCAGGCCGCTCAATGAAAAGTATTATGTAAAGGTATCTCATGTTAGATCTGGAGAGATTCGCAACCCTTAAGGGAATGCACTCCCGCGCAGGCAAAAGTGGCCACAGTAACTCCCATCTGGAACCAACGTGGTAGTAGTGCTGTGTTAGTGGTGTGGTGGTCGCTGTGCTGTGTTAGTGGTGTAGTGCTGGTAGTGTTGTGTTAGTGGTGTGGTGTTGGTAGTGGCGGGTTGTGCTGTGTGCTGTGTTAGTGGTGTGGTGTTGGTAGTGGTGTGCTGTGTTAGTGGTGTGGTGTTGGTAGTGTTGTGTTAGCGGTGTGGTGTTGGTAGTGTTGCTGAGTTGTCAGCAGGTAGTAGTGTTGTCGTAGTGGCAGTGGTGCTGTGGTAGTGGTCTTGTGGTAGCGGTGTTGTGGTGTTGTGGTTGTGGTATTGTGGTAGCGGTGGTGTGGTGCTGTGGTAGCAGTGTTGTGGTGTTGTGGTATTGGTATTGTGGTAGTGGTGCTGTAGTGTGGTAGTACTATGGTGCTGTAGTGTTGGTGTTATGTAATATCATTCATAGGGAGTGCTAGTCCTATGGAGTACTAGCCGCAGGGAGTGCTAGCCCCAGGGAGTACCAGTCCCAGGAATTACTACCCCTAGGGCGTACTCGTCCAAGGGAGTACTCGTCCTAGGGAGTACTCGCACGACGGAATACCAGCCCTAGGGAATACTAGTCCTAGGGAGTGCTAGTCTGGGGGGGTGCAAGGACGTACTGGCGCTAGGGAGTACTAGCCCTAGGAAGTACTGGCGCTAGGGAGTGCTAGCCCTAGGGCGTTAGGGACGACGAGAAGTAGTAGTAGTAGTAGTAGTAGTAGTAGTAGTAGTAGTAGTAGTAGTAGTAGTAGTAGTAGTAGTAGTAGTAGTACTAGTACTAGTAGTCGTAGTCGTAGTCGTAGTCGTAGTCGTAGTAGTCGTAGTCGTAGTAGTCGTAGTAGTCGTAGTAGTCGTAGTAGTCGTAGTAGTCGTAGTAGTCGTAGTAGTCGTAGTCGTAGTCGTAGTAGTATTCGTATTCGTAGTAGTAGTAGTAGTAGTAGTAGTAGTAGTCGTAGTAGTCGTAGTAGTCGTAGTAGTAGAAGTAGAAGTAGCAGTAGTAGCGGTAGTAGTAGTAATAGTCGTAGTCGTAGTAGTAGTAGTAGTAGTAGTAGTAGTAGTAGTAGTCGTAGTAGTAGTAGTAGTAGTAGTAGTAGTAGTAGTAGTAGTAGTAGTAGTAGTAGTAGTAGTAGTAGTAGTAGTAGTAGTAGTAGTAGTAGTAGATAGTCGTCGTAGCAGTAGTCGTAGTAGTAGTAGTAGTAGTAGTAGTAGTAGTAGTAGTAGTAGTAGTAGTAGTAGTAGTAGTAGTAGTAATAATAATAATACTACGCCGTTACAAAACTTCGTCACGTTTCATGAGAGCTTGAAGGTGGCATGGGTTTCGTGTCTTCCTTCCGCGTGAGCAAGCGGGCAAAGGCTGACCACTGCCCTGGCCGCGCCACGCTGGCCCCCCCTTCCCCCCTAGAATCCTAGCGGACTGAGGCAAGACTGGTCGGATCAAAGATCCGGGATTTCTCAAAGTGGGTTTTCATCCCTTATTATAATTGTATAGATTAAAAACGGGACATTTTGAAATCCCGACGTCAATTCACACGGTTCTAGAGATCCCACCGGGGCGGGATTTGTCTTTGCTTCTGCAAGTTGATCGACTTTTATTTTATGACGAAACTTTTGTAACGCCGATGAGGGATCCACGATGGCGACGCATCATCATTCACCCCATCGATTTCATCGCGCGCAACCCTGCGCATCATCCGCCATGATCGCCATTGCGTTAGACCCGCTACTGCCACCGCCACAGCCACAGCCTCCGGCCCGGAGCCCAGAACCGCCGCCCTTGCTGCAGCCTCGGGTCCGCGATGGTGTCCGCGCTGGACCAGGAGATAGTGCAGAAGAAGGGTGCCGCCTCTCGGGGGTGAGTTGCAGGCTGAGCGCGCTTGCGCCGCGCGCGCCACCAGGTCTGCTCGCCTACGATGAGGCTTCGCCGTGCACGCCGGACACACAAAGGCTTCGCCTGCCGCGCCGGATAAGGAAGGCTACGCCTGCCACGCCAGATTTCCAGGGGATCGACGCTCGCCGCGCGGTGTCTGAAATGCCGCTAGGGATCCACGATGGCGACGCGTCATCATTCACCCCATCGATTTCATCGCGCGCAACCCTGCGCATCATCCGCCATGATCGCCATTGCGTTAGACCCGCTACTGCCACCGCCACGGCCACAGCCTCCGGCCCGGAGCCCAGAACCGCCGCCCTTGCTGCAGCCTCGGGTCCGCGATGGTGTCCGCGCTGGACCAGGAGATAGTGCAGAAGAAGGGTGCCGCCTCTCGGGGGCGAGTTGCGGGCTGAGCGCGCATGCGCCGCGCGCGCCACCAGGTCTGCTCGCCTACGATGAGGCTTCGCCGTGCACGCCGGACAAACAAAGGCTTCGCCTGCCGCGCCGCATAAGGCAGGCGACGCCTGCCACGCCAGATTTCCAGGGGATCGACGCTCGCCGCGCGGTGTCTGAAACACCGCTACGCCGTTGCAAAAGTTCGTCACGTTTCATGAGAGCTTGAAGGTGGCATGGGTTTCGTGTCTTCCTTCCGCGTGAGCAAGCGGGCAGAGGCTGACCACTGCCCTGGCCGCGCCGAGCTGGCCCCCCCTTCCCCCCTAGAATCCTAGCGGACTGAGGCAAGACCGGTCGGATCAAAGATCCGGGATTTCTCAAAGTGGGTTTTCATCCCTTACTATAACGGTATAGATTTAAAACGGGACATTTTGAAATCCCGACGTAAATTCACACGGTTCTAGAAATCCCACCGGGGCGGGATTTGTCGTTGCTTCTGCAAGATGATCGACTTTTATTTTATGACGAAACTTTTGTAACGCCGATGAGGGGTTCACGATGGCGACGCATCATCATTCACCCATCGAT